GAAAAACCAAATAAAATACCTACTGATACATAAGTTTCAATACATTGACGGTAATCCAGTTGCTGAGGCGTTTAATAAAATTCATTTTGTCTGTATAACCCATGAAGATCGTAGGAATATATGATGGAGTTGATGGATTCCCCAAGCGATCATAATGCCATGGCATAAGTACACAACTACTTAGGCCAATAACAGGTGCTTTCAATTTCCAGGCAACAGCCATCATGCAATCATTATTGAATTGTTCCAATAAAACAACGTCGAACACTTGATTCGATTTCAAAATATTCTGCACAGCAGTTGAATTGAATGCAACTTCACAAGCATCAATTCCAAGTTGTTGCAAATTAAAGAAATCCATGAAATGTTGGGACCACGAACGATTTTCAAACATCTGAAAATGTAATAAGTTTAAAATTTGGAGATGAAATTTTACACATATGATCATCGCATTTAGTAAAGGCAGTTAATGTTCAAAACGTTTTATATTTTACTTTTTTAAACGACGCCATTAGACGGGACCAAAAAAGTTTTTCATTGAAGTATCTCATTCGATATCATACAGATGGCTTCCATGCAAAAATCAAGTTATTTGTATCGCAAAATTTATATCAGATTCGGTTTTTTCGAACCGAAAAAAAACCAAAAAACAAATCGTGCATACACGTGGATGACACATATATGAGATTGGAGACTTTTTTATGCGAGTCTCGCTAATCAGCGCCATCATACCTGACATCCCTCACAAATGCACATATTTATTATTTATTTTTATTTTAAGTAATATATTTTTCCTTTATAATAATAATATATTTTTTAAATTTGATTTTATTTGAATTTTTGAACAAAACTATATTTTTTTTTATGATGAAAATGATGAAATATTATTTTTCTCCAACGTCTCCAACCAAATTTACGTAATGTATTTTACGTATTCATGTTTTTGACAAGTCATTTGTCAATTTAGATTTATGACATTTCGTCATTTTTCGCATTTTGAAGTCGCTGTAAATAGCGTTATAAAAATGGTGAGAAATAAATATTAGACTGATATATTTTTTATCAGTAATTTATTCTTTAAGTTTATTTTATCTCTTTATTTTGTTTTTTACCAAAAGCTGTGTATTGTTTTATGTTTGTTTTTAAATATTTTATGTAACCTAACAAATGGGTTGGTGATTTGATTGATATTGAAACAGGACGTTCCAAATTGACAAATGACTTGCCAAAAACATGAATACGTAAAATACATTACGTCAAAAATGTCACAATCTCTCCCATCTCTCCAAGCCAACAGATGGCATTAATGTAAACCATTCGCAATGTGTCTCTTCTTAGAGCCATCCACTTGTACCACACACAAAAAAAAAAGAATTTCAAGGTTACCATTCGTTATCAGCGGGCGGTGTTCATATGTTCGGCGAAGAATTGTGTGAGAAGGTAAGAAATCTGAAGCGAATTAATTTACTGTACGAAGTAACATTCCGTAAACGTCATCGTTTTTTTGGCGTCTCTCGGTCTCATTATGTCAATTGATGTCGGTTATTTTTAGCCATCTGAATAGCATTGTGAGACGAGTGACCAATACGTGTGTGTGTGTGATTCACATGAAAACACTGTACCTCTCGCGTATTCCGAACACTTTCTTTTTTTGTTCACATTTAAAAACGGCGCCGACCCACATCTTTAAATTTCGTCTTCTTTTCCTCCTCTTTCGTTGAATGTGATGCAATCAAACGATTTATTACTGCAGCATTTGAACGAACCACGTGACTGCACACAATTCAGTTCATACACACCAACACAATTTATTTACAATGTATAATACTTTGTCTTTTATTAGTTGTGTCAATGAAAACAGCTTAATTTTACACTTATTTTATTCTAGTTTGTTTACAGTTAAAATAACATTACGCACAATGTGATCAAATGAGTGTCAATGAACGGTTCTCAGTAAGGTGCATTTCTGGTTCGATGTGAATGATTCAGAATTTTCTTTTGAGAATTGAACGAAATCAACCTGATTCGGGTTAAAAGTATCAGAGAAATTCAATTTTGGTTCGATTAAATTACTCTTTTTCAATGATCATTAACAAAACCACGGTTATCACAGCCAATATCAATTTGATCAATTACAGACACCGATTTATTTGGAATTTCATTTGGATCGTTCGCGTTTGCTCGTTTTTGTTTTGAGATCTTCGGGATTTTTCGGTCGGTGAATTTCTTCGAATTATCGGCAAAATGCATTTCAATGTCCTCTAGCGAACGATTTTCGGTTTCTGGCAAGATTTTATACATTAGCACCAGACCAACGGCAATAACGATGGAATTAAACAACGCGACTCCGCTCAGTGAAAATGTCGTCTCCAAATTGTAATAAGTTTTGGTTGAAATGAAGCTAAAAATTGACGTGTTGATAAAATTATATAATTAGAAGAGAGGGAAAATGTCCTCGGAATTTGAATCGAAAATATAAAAAATTTAATTACCATATCACATAGTTAATCGCTGCAGTGATTCCAGTTGCTGCCCCTCTTGTTCTAATGAAATGAGAAATAAAAACGTTAATTTTTCCGGCACGATTTGATAGTCAACTTTTACATACTTGTACGGAAACACCTCGGACAGCAATTGCCTGCAAGAATCGAAAAAAAAACCGAATTTTGAATGTGATTTTATCAAACTTGAAAATGATACAAACAAGAAATGAGATGGCTGAGAGCAAAAACGGCACGTCGCATCCCACCTCCTTCTCTTGCTTACAGAAATTCCTGTAAGTGAGAGCAAGAGATGAGGTGCGACGTGCTGTTTTTCCTCACAGCCTCTCAAATGTAAAATATCATAAAAACAAAAGTGAAATTACCATGGCATTGAATTTACACCACAGAACGAACAAAAACTCCAGAGAAAAATGGCAATGATCGGAATATACGCGAGATTCTTATTTTCCGGCGTGAATTCCGAATGACTGAATGAATTATAACCATTTGGAAGCACCAAAAAACCATATACCCAAACGATGATCGAGCTCAAAAAAACGCCGGACAACATTGTTAAATACAATTTTCGTTTGCCGGTGAACTTTAACAAACATAAAAAGCAAACGTTTGCGACATTATTTATGAAACTTTGAAGAGCCGCGGT